TGTCTACTCAGGGCCGTGATTGTGGAAAGGGGCCTGTTGGGCCCTGCATTCTGGGTGCTCTCCCTTCCCACAGGCGCCCGTTGATGCCAAAGCCTCATGTTTGCGTGGTAGGTCCGGCGATTTAAGCAAAAGTAAGACTCAGTGGTTAAATTAAGAAGACACCAAATACAGCCTCTTAATACAGCAGTTTTATTTCCTTCTATGTTTAGATCTTGCACCAAATTAAATTCAAGCAAATGACAGGCTGAGGAGTCCATCGATTTTCATGGGAAGGGTCCATATAAACAAATAGTGTGCTGTTATTCCCCTTATTTGGCAACTGTTTACTCAACATCCCAGCCTACTTTAATATATTGAGGTAATGGCGGTTCAGAATAGAGGGGACAGTGTTCTGTAGAGACCGTTTCTAATGCATGAAGTTAGTCTGCTTATTGCAAACTAAATTCCATTTCCATATACCCTTCACAGCCTCTCTCATTTTGGTGCAGAGGCAGTCTCACAAAAGCTTTTGTGGATTTCCTGAGAGTGGATACCTGAGGAACATGGATGTTGAGAGGCATTTATTTACTTCCTGATTCTTGAAAAGGAGGTGTTAGGACCTGAATTCTGGATTTATGTCTATCAACCTGATATTTTTCTATTGTCAATATTTTCCTGGTGTTTCGCTGAAAACCCCTCCCTCTTTCTGTATGGCATGACTCATCTCTAGCTAGAAGACTGTTCTTTGGTGGGAAAGATAGCATCTCCTGAGGTCCCCTGCTGTGGGCTGGCTGGTATAGGTGGTGAATGAGAGAGGATCTATGTATGCCTGGAGAAGAAAGGGCTAGGATATGCAAAGATCCTATTGAAAGAATAGTCCCCATTATCTTTACTGCCTTCTTTCTAAATACATTTGTCTATTTTCACTACCCACTCTTGCACTTCATTTTTGTTCAGGGAAAAGAGGTGTGGCCTCTGCTGGGGAAATGACTGACTTCAGAGTTGGGAGATGTATGTAATTAGACAAACTGCAGGTCTTAGGGTAATGAATGGGGAATCATTTGGCAAGAGCAGACAGAAGGGAAACATATAACATGACCTTGAATGTACAAAAGCGTATGTTATAACAGTTGTCATGGTTGTTGGGCCATCTCAGTCTCTTCTGTTTTCTCTCCTCTGCCTGTTTGTCTCTGTAGGTTTATTCCTTTATCAGTTCCTGTAGAAATCTGTAGGTAGCTGTTGACTTTCAAGAAGACCAAAACTGTTCATTTGGACCCAAGGTGAGTGAGAGCATGAGCACCCCTACTAGTTGGGGATGGGACTTGGGTGTTGGGAAGTGGGTGAGACAGATGGAGCCATTGTCTTCTAGCATTCTAGACAACTGTGCCCTCACATTCCTGTTTAGGAAAGGGGGGGGAGAAAGGGTTGTGCTTATAGGATAATTGACAGACATCCAGGAAATGGGGAAAGAAACCATGAGGAGGACAAAGCCAGAAACATACAGTTGACCCTTGAACAACATGGGTTTGAACTGCATGAGTCTACTTATAGGATTTTTTCCAATTTACCACAGTTGAGTTGATCCACACAGTTCTACTGACTGCAATTAAAACCTACATTGTTCACGGTTCAGCTCTGTGGTTGGGAATCTATGTATATGGAGAATCAGACTTTAGTTATCCATAGATTTTCAACTTCAGCGCCCCAACCCTTGCATTGTTCAAGGGCCAACTGTATAACCAAAGCTCCAGATCTGGAAAGATACCTAGGTATTGGGTCTAGAAACCAAAGTGCATGTCTGTCTGCTGAAACTCTGGATTCCAGTCCGTCCTGTGTTTTTGTCCATAGGTCTGCCTGTGATTTCAGCTGTAGGGCTTATCAACACTGGAAGCAATCAAGAAAGGAAGACCAGTGCAGGTTGGTGTGAGGCCTACCTGGATAGACCTGTGTGGTATATACCAAAGGGGCTGGATGCTTTGTAGCCTCTCTCACTTTCAGCAAACTTTCCCATCATCCCTGATCCTGTTTAATGCAGAGAAGAGTGTGGTAGTGCCTGAGCAGGATGTTGGACATTAGTGGGAGTGTGGAAGGGATAAAATGAGGTAACTCCCACTTCTCCTACCAAACAGTCCATCTCTGCTCTCTCATGTCCTGTTTGGCTGTCTGCATAGATGAGCACAGTTGGAAGAGGCTTAAAGCCCATTTCCTTCTTCCACCTTAGGTCCATCTCCAGCGGTGACTGTGGTGGCCTTGGAGTGGTGGAAGAGTATCACTTTCAGCAAGTCTGCACTCAGGAACCATCATCTTCCCTCAGTCTGAGTGCCTCTGCCCTCTGTATCATTGACAGAAGTTTTGTGTTCAGAAAGGGGACTGTGTGACTGTTGAACTGACAATTGACTCTAACTCTTGCTACAAAGTTGGTCTCTGACCCCGTGAAACTGTCAACATATTGACTCGGGACTTGTTGAGACCAAGGCCAAGACTCTATAGGGCTATTGATACAACTGGGCTTTAACCATGGGTGGGAAAAGAAATAAGGGCAAAACTGCAAAAAGGGCTAGTGTAGAAGCTAAAACAAAGAGGGAAGCTACTGGCGTAGGCAGACCTGTAGCCAAGACCCAGGCCAAAGCAATAGCCAAGCCAGAGGTTAAGGCAAATGCAGTGGCACAGGTGAAGGCAGTGTCTAAGAAGAAGATTGTTACTGAGAAAAAAGGAGCCCCAGCAAATTTCAGCCCCAAAGTTGAAGATGAGGCCACTCAAATGTCTCAGTGTCGTTCTGTGAAAAAGGCCGAGGATAAGATCAAGTCCATGTGTAAAGATAAGGCTGATATTGATACCTGTGCTGGGGAAGAGACCAATGTTGGTTCCAGGCTCCAGAATGGAGAAGAGACTGATAATAGTTCCAGTGCCAAGGATGAAGGTAAAGCTGATACTGGTCCCCCATCCTGTGCTGAGAAGTTGGAGCCTGTGGCCAGCGCTAGCTGTAAAGCTAGACCAGGCGCTGAAGAGGAGGAGGAAGAGAATGTTATTGGGAACTGGTTTTGGGATGGAGATGAAACTAGTTTTGACCCTGATCCTAAACCTGTGAGCAGAATACTTAGGCCCCAGCCTGTGGATGAAATTAATGAAAAAGATAGGCCCAAAGACTGGTCTGAGGTAACTATCTGGCCCAATGCCCCTGCTGTAACTCCAGCAGTATTAGGATTTAGATCTCAAGTCACATCTGAGACAAAGCCTCCTTCGTATATTGTCCTGGGCTCAGCTGAGGAAAATGCTCATGCTTTGCCTGAGGAAACAGAGAGTCTTTCTAAGAGCATATTCTCATGCTCAGAGTCTATCCCGGAGCACCCATTTGGTTCTGACCCTTGCATTCAGACTATAGAGCAGATTAGACGCCAAATCAAGATCAGGGAGATGAATGGGATTAAGCCATTTGCTTGTCCTTGCAAAATGGAATGTTATATGACTTCTGAGGAATTTGAAAAACTTATTACCTTACTTGAGTCAACTACTGATCCTCTCATTCATAAAGTAGCTCAAATTGCAATGGGGATCATTAAGGTTCATCCGTTTGCCCAAGAGTTCATTAATGAGGTAGGTGTAGTGACACTTATTGAGAGCTTGCTTAGTTTTCCTTCTTCTGAAAGGAGAAAAAATGCTGTATTTACTCTGAATGAACCTGGTGGACTTGAAAGACACCGCAAGGTTGAATTACATGTTAAACATATGTGTAAGGAAACCATGTGTTTTCCCTTGAACTCACCCGGACAGCAGTCAGGCTTAAAAATACTGGGGCAACTGACTACTGATGTTAACCGTCACCATATTGTTGCCAGTTATCTTTCAGACTTTTATTATTTGCTTTCCCAGGGAAATCGTAAAACCAGAAATCTTGTTTTGAAGGTCCTTTTGAATATGTCTGAAAACCCAGTTGCAGCCAGAGACATGATCAGTACAAGGGCATTAGCAGCGTTAAAACTAATCTTTAACCAGAGAGAAGCAAAAGCCAGTCTTGTGAGTGCTGTGGCCATATTTATTAACATAAAGGAGCATATCAGAAAGGGTTCAATTGTGGTTGTGGATCACTCGAGTTACAGCACACTTATGGACCTTTTCCGTGAAGTTAAAATGATTATTGAAACAATGTAAAATGAGCCAGAAATAGAACACAGAACAATCTCCAAATTCTGATGAGATAACTCCTACTTCTACCAAACAGTCCATCTCTACTCTCTCATGTCCTGTTTGGCTGTCTGCATAGATGAGCACAGTTGGAAGAGGCTTAAAGCCCATTTCCTTCTTCCACCTTAGGTCCATCTCCAGCGGTGACTGGTGGCCTTGGAGTGGTGGAAGAGTTTCTTCCTCTGTTCTCAAAGAGCCTTGCATAATATTTTGTTTGTTATAGTGTGCACATTATAAATGATGTCTTTAACACTATTATTTGTGGTGGTCTCTAGGTTTGAGCTACACCATTTGGGGGTTATCAAATATTATTACATTGTGAGCTGAAAATGTTGATTTTTATCTTGTGTAGATGGGGTACTTTTCAACATTTTACTTAAGAAATTAGTGAACCAGTTCATCCTAAATAAGCTAACTTGTTTATTAGTATCTGCTTAGATCCATTTGTGGCTTCAAATGGCAAAAAAAAAATAGCCTTAACTTATAATCTAGTTGCAGAAATAAGGCATATACACACAAAAAGATAACTAACAGATCATGTATGCATTCGCACACTCATACCCATTGTGAAATGTACACTCTCAACATAAAGAAGGTAGGTGTTTCTATAAGATGTTTAATATAAGAATTAAGTTTCCTCCTATTCTGCCTGCATCATATAGTATATTCTACAACCCAGAAATGTCCCTGAATCCTAGATAAAATGTAAGATTCACTTTTTAATGTCGCTACTACGTTTATAACTCATTGTTAGGCTACTTCATTTATGTCAGTCATCTCACAGAAGAGAAAGGAGGTAGGTGTAGGGAGGAAACATTTGCTGAGTACCTGCTCTTATGTCAGGCAATGTGTTGGCACTATACAGGTTTTTCCCCCCTCTTCTGGCAATGGTCCTGTGAGCCTAGGTACTGGTAGTTATTTCTTTTTTTTTAATATATTTTTTATTAAGATATTACATATGTGTCCTTCCTTATCCCCACGTTACCCCCTACCCCTCCCTCCCATACCCTCACCCCCCTGTTGTCCGTGTGCATTGGTTAGGCCTATATGCTTGCATATAAGTCCTTTGGTTGATCTT